TCTGCAATGATTAGACATGTTTTTTCTTATTGTCATTAGTGATTATCTCAATTTCGGCTAAGAGAACTAACAAAATCCTACACACTGCGTCTTTAAAAAGACAGAGGCCAATTTAACCAAATTAATTTAGATAGACTMTGATGCAAAGTCMAATAGGTTCTTTGGTATATACAGCATTTTCACAGCAAATAAAGGTAACATACAGTATGATTGTGGTATAGAATAGAACYATGCGCCTGGGAAATACATACCCCCACCCCCTTATCCAAGTTTCATCATGATAATTGGGTATTCTTTTCACATGAGCACAATTTMAACTGTGGACAAAAATATAATTATCTCTAGTTGAACACAACTTCTTTTCCAGTGATTGTTTAGCCTTCAGTGTTAATATTTACTCACATGGTTTATAGGTCAGATGATCTTATATTATTCTTAACATAAACTTATCTGACAGTATCTTTGCATCTGAGCCTAAAAATGGTTTCCAAACGAGAGATCTGACTTAAATGATGTTAATGGTTTGGCTTAAACCACAACACAGTTTTCATGGTTTACATTGTACCTTGCAAATTTGTGTTTCTTCATATTTCTTCTACTAAAATGAAGAAAAGTATTAAAAAATACACAGGGCAAGAACAAAAGGCATACACAAGGAGAAGCAAGCAGATGCTGAATTAATTTCTATGCTACCGTTCTACAGAGAAGCAAACAGATGACGCTGATGCAAAGAGAAGTATTTGCTCAGAAGGTAAAGCTACAACAGGGCAAGGTATTTTTGGCATTTGTAGTAGTGTAGTCTCACAACGTAAGATGAAGTAATCACACGGCTCCATCTGCATTTATATTTTAAATTTAATTCATAATGCAGAAACAGTTCATGCAAGGCTCTTCATTTGACATTCTCGTTTATTTATTTTGTTAATATTTAAATTCATATTGCAGTACTTTGTATAAAATTGGTTATAAATTATAGCTTCTCCTAGAAAAGTACTGTTATCTGTTAGTTTGCATGATTGAAACTGCAAATTGTTTGATCAAAATGAATAGGCTGATACATGTGCCTCCACTTGTGATGCTCACAACTTGCAAGAATTTGCATTTTTGCCTGTTAATTTGTATTATTCTCACCTTTTTGATTACTATAACGCAAGTGAGAGCATTTGCATTTGGTCTGTCTATCATTAGCATTTATTTTACGCTGTATTCCTGTTGTTATTTTTTCTTTTTATGTTACTTCTAAAATGATTGTTATGCCATGACTTTATGCAGCCATCCAACCAGATCTTGACAGTGACAAAATAAACATGATCTTAGGCACAACTGTAAAATAGGAAAAACAACATATTCACAAAAACAAAGAAACCGGTTGCCCATTACAAATAGAATCAGAGAAAGCCTAGCAACATACCCGTCGTGCATCTGGTGTCTGTGAGAGTGCATAAATATTCAGAGTGCATGATAGTGGAAGCTGCACAGGTGCATATATTACCTGTATCAAAGCAGCCTGGAGACTAGAGGGATGGTAAAGGTAAAGACATAAAAGCAATACTACTTAACCCGCAAGCTTTTGTGTTGGTGCATTTGCAACAAAAAAAATCTGTGGCGTCTCCATTTCGGGTAATAGCGTTATCTTGTCTAAATCTGCAAAATAGTGGCTTTGTTGTTCAATAGATGTACCTGTATTTGTGTGTGTGTGTGTGTGTGTGTGTGTGTGTGTGTGTGTGTGTGTGTGTGTGTGTGTGT